TGAAAATATGTTACTACTTCTTTAAATGAAAGTGTAAGTAATTGAAATTATGAACTTAGTTTAAGTGCAATTTCCTTCCCACTTTTTTTTAATTTCTATTAAAGGTACTCTTTGCACCTGAAGGTTATTTTTGAAAAATATTACGTAGACGCAGTGCCATTAAAAAATGGGTTAAACGACTATTTTATTTAAACCAAAATAAATTTATGAAATTATTTATTTCTTCTCTCGACGCTTGCAATGAGTTTTTGATTTAAAAAAATCAGGTTCATAATTTGACTGTTACTTTGCTAACAACATTGCCCTACTTGTTCAGCGTGATCGGAATTATTAAAAAAGTATAAAAGATTTTTTTTAATTGTTTAGTGAGATATTATGACGTATGCATCTAGCTATTTTTCGATCTATAAAAAGCAAACATTTTTGGTTTTGTCAGCCAAAAAAAAGCAATTTATTTTTTAGAGAACTTTGTCTATTTTAATATCAACAAAATCCACTAACCCTAATTAAGTTTCATTGCCTTCTATGCTTATAATGAACTATTTAAATGTAAAGTTTGAAAAAAGAAAGAAAAACAAAACATTTTAGATACGCACTAATTGATTTAAATAATTTGATCAGCTAAACTAAAACCTGAAAATTAAGGAGTGCAGATAAAAACGAAATCATACTCAAAATATTTTCTATTAAAAATAATTCCTTATTTTCAGACAGATATAGCTTTTCGGCATTCAAAATATGAGAGGAAGAGGCATTTTACGTAATATGGAGCCAATAGTTTGGTTAGGAGAAAGTTCGAAAATTTTAATGACTTAATGTAAATTTCATTTTTAGCGCATTTAACCCTCTCAAAGAAATCTTATTTTTAAGTTTATATTTCTTCTGAACTAGTTCTTCAAACTTTAACCCATTGGGAACGGTTGATTCAGAAAAGCATTCGTACAAAATCAGAATCAAGTTGTAATTAAATAAAAAACGGTAACTTAAATGTAGTCGTTGCTAATTTGACAGACTTACTTTGCTTTTACTTTAATTGTTAGTTTAATCATATATATAATCAACGTTAATTCAAAGTATAACTAAATAGTTTTATTTTGAGCAAAGTAATAGTGAATTAAATAAATCAAACAATTATAACTTCGCCCACAAAGAATTACTGAAAAATTACTTTGATTACCAGTTTTATCTTTTTACCCTGATTGATACAGTTTTATGCTGGCACTTATTTGTGACAGACGGCTCGAAAGGGTTAAAATTTGCCATTTTGCATTAAAATTGCGTAAAAATTTGTGTACCATACGATTAAAATTGTTTTTGATCACAAGTAAATTGTAATGAAAAATAATTACAAACTATTTTTACATGGATATCTTTTGATAAACGAGCTTTATAAAGTAACAGAGATACCAACTGCTTCGGATTTGACAAAAAATTTTAAAAAACGGTAAAGAACTACAAACTAAAACTTGTAGATTTTCGGTTAATTTTACCAACTTTTTAAAAGACACAAGGCGGCTTACCGATTTAACACGTTCACGCCGGGGTGACCCAACGGTGGGTCAAGCTAGATTGTCTCATCTTGGCAGCGCACCGGAGTAAAAACTGGTAACAATAAATTTCTTTTTTTAGTTTTTTTTCCGGGAATAATAAAAATCCGTAACTAACAATTGTTTTTAACGGATGCAATTTTTATATTGAATTGCTTCTTCGCCGTTGTTATTGTTGAGAATAGATTAACTCCTCCCGAATGTTATCTAATATTGAAATAGCTCTTCTACCAGTATTTTCACTTTCCCCGGCGTGAACGTGCTAAACACAATGTACGGAGTACGTATCCCGAAGGGCAATCTACTCCTTCATCTAAATTGAATTTTACAAAATGAGGGAACAGGGTGAGAGCAGGCTTCCCAACTACTACACTTTTTGAAAACATTCTCTAGAGTGGTAGACAATTAAAAACCAAAGATTTCAGAATTTTTGGTAATTTTGCCAACATTTCAAAAGCCTCGCCACAAAAGAGCTAGTACAAAGTGGCTTTGCATATGAACTTTTAAATCATTTACGTGTGGAAAATAAGTTTAAATGAATAAAAATTTATACATTTAAACAAAACATAGCTGACAGCAGAATGAATGTTTGCAAAAAGCATTGAAAGCTGGCAACCCTATGAGAGGCTTACGTAGCATAAATTTGCGACACACGACGACTCAACTGTAGTAAGTTTAACTTAAGCTTTTGAATTATTTCGAAGTAGTTGTCAGTAAAAACACTACTTATCGAACTTACTAAACCAAGTATCATACATTAAAAGACTACCACTCGAACAAATTGGCATCTCTGGAAAAAAAAATTCGTTGGAAAGGGTCCTAGAGTGTTGGAATACGCAATATATATCCGTCGTTGAACTGCCGACCCAATTTTTTTAAAATTTACGACTGCTAATGTTCAACTCCGTAGCCTTGTCATTTTGAACCCAATCCAGAAGACAAAGGAAATCCTGGATCAATTATTGGGAGAAATTTGCTTTTATGGAGGACTTTTTGATGGAATTAACCCGCATTTGCGTTAGATGGAGTAGAGAACCACGGTTAACCTGACGGTAAAGGGACTTTAACCAATGATCCGTCTACAATTGAGGATATTTTGCGTCAGCGCTGTGGTCGGTGCAAGGCTGATGCGGAATTCGTATCGACCAGCCATCGCTGAGATTCGAACTCGGTTCACCTCATTGGAAAACGGACGTTTTATCCCCTGAGTCATCACGATGCACTAAGAGAAATTAGGGACATTAAAGGGACCCACTCTCCTACTTAAGCTTTGAGCTTTTGAGACAGTGTTTTTTACCCCCCCCCCCGGATTTTGATGGTCAAAAATCCTTAGGGAATAGACGCCAGTCTATTCGGAAAAAAGACGTTTTAGTGTCTGATTTCGACTTAGAATTGAAATTTCGAAAACTGGTATTTATAAATTATCATTTAACCGATTTCGTTAAAATTTTGGATATTTTGGCAGTCAACATTTTATAAATATTTCTTCAGCTTAATATGTACACAAATTTTTCAATCTTTCTTCAATTAAATTACGAGTAAATACAATAATTATTTTTTAGATGAAATATTTTTGAAAAACGAATTTAATAATTAGGTGCAAAAAGTATTCAATTCTCTCAGCAAGTTTCATAGGTATGACAAAATACTCAAATTTGGAAATTCACATTAAATGAACCACAGATTCAATCGCTCACGTCTCTTATTATCAAAATTTTCAGATTATGGTTAATCCCTAGTTTAAGGTTAAACATACAAATCGTAAAAAAGGCCTGTTTATTCAGATAAAGTTTATTTTGTGTTTGATTTCGTATTTCAAAACAAGGTTTGCTCAAATTAATTACTACCCATCCACTACAATGACCTTCTTATGAATCATTTTATATCTTTTCTAAAATCAATCACTTTGTAAATTAAAAGAAAAGAAAAATACTTCAGATGGACATCCCACTACAATTTTTGAATTTCCAACTATGCTCAAAGAAATTTACCAGAAACAATGTTTTTAAATCCGAAATTGTACAATAATTTGCCATTGGAATTGCAGTCAATAAAAAACTATCTTCATTTTAAGCAAGTTTCGCTTAGATTTATATTAAAAACTTGATGATATTGAATTGTATTTCCATGGCTGGAAGCGAAATACTTTTTTAAATTCCAGTATCATCAGATTTTGAATTTTCTAGAATGACATTTTGATTTCTATATTTAAAAAGTTTTATAATATATATTAATAAATTTTTTTAATTTAATTTTTTATGTTTTTTAAATTTGTTTTATTAATTTTAACATCATTTATTGCTATAAATTTTCTCTTGTGCGTAACTTTTTTTATTATAATTGTCACGCATACATTTTTCCCTACTTGTACTACATGTGCATTAAATTTTGTACTTGTAGTATAAATTCTTTGTTTTTATTTATGTATCGTTTGTATTTATGTTCCAAAATACTAATTTCAAATTAATATAAGTTGCCACTAGCACTGGTTTTGTAGGTTTTTAGTGACCAAGGCAATTTTTTTTTGTAGAAAATTACGAAATTTAAATAAAATTTGTTTGTTTTGTTTGTTTGTTAATTAGAATATTTAAGGATATTCTTCCCAACCTTAAAGTTTGCAATATAGTACTTGATTTTTCGATTACTAAACCAAGCAAGCTATCACATTTGTTCTAGAGGACACCTGCATTACGCTTCTTCTTCTTTTTTCTTTTGAAAAAAATGAACCATCTTTTTAAAAAGACGCAAGAAACAAATGGGTTTTTAAGACATTTCTAAACCTATAAAATGAAGCCTCTGTACTCAAAAACCTTTTCCTTCAAAATGTTATGGGGAAGCCGTAATAATAGATAATAATTTTTGAAAATATAATTCAACCTCCTATTATTTAATTTGAAAAGTAGCTGATGAAAATATGATCGTACTTAATAATAAAAAATATTCCGATCACTAAACAAACATTTGTTAATGTGTCACATTTGTTCTAGAGGACACATGTGTTAAATTTTTTTTCTTTCTTTTTTTCTTTTCGAAAGGAACAAATGGGTTTTAATACATTTCTAAACCAGTAAAATTAAACCTCCATACTAAAAAACCTTTTGATTCAAATTGTTAAGCGAATGTTATTATGATAGATTTTAAGTTTTGAAAGTATAATTCAACCTGCTCTTATTTAATTTCAGAAATAATTGACGGTAATAATAATAAAAATAATGGTAAAAGTACTTAATAATAAAAAACTATTAAATTTTTATTGTTCAGTAAATAAGTAATCTCAAAAAAAGAAAGAAAGAAACTTCTAAATCTCGGATGTTGCATTATTACACTGAAGACCCTATATAATTTTGTCCATTTTATCTTTAATGACTGCTTTTATTTGAATTTCAAAACTCAAACACTGTTATAATTTAAAACTGCTTATTAAAAAATTGTCTGCTACAGAAGGGTGGAGACGTAGCGTACGACCTCACGTGACCGCGTGTGCTACTTCAGTTTGAAACAAACAGAGCATTCTATAAATTCAGTTCGTATTACCAGACACCGGTTTGTTACTCTTTACAATCACATCCCACGACACACAACCACCATAATGATCCGAATTCTGGTAAGGCACCAATTTTATTTTCGGTTTCTAATTATTTAAAAATATATTTATTGAATTTTAATATTTGTTGATGTATTTATTAGCAGAACTATTACAATATTAACATTTTATATATTTTTTCTAGAAATAAGTTTTTAATTTAATAAATATTTAAAATACTTTATAAGAATCCAACTTTAAAAACTTCTTTTTTTGAAGTCAATTCTACTGCTTTAGTTTTTGAATAAATTAATTGTTTTTATTATTAGATTTTAAGAATTTCGAAATTTTTATTAAAGTATACAAATATAGGTTTTTATGAAATTTTTAAAATTATTAAATTCATTGGTTTTTTTAAAATTTTAAAATTAGTTTATTAATTAATTATTAAGTCAATAAGAAATTTAAATTAAGTCCAGTTTAATAATGTAGTGAAAACTATAATATTTTTAATTTAAAATAAACTTCATAATTAAAATTATTCTTACCAAATTTATTTTTCCAATTTAGATGTTAATCTTTTTAAATTAAAAGCGAAATATTTATGTTTATTATAGCAACAAGAATTGTTTTAAAAAATTATTCTGTGGATCTTGTAATTGCAATATTATTATTAATCTTTATCTGTGGCATGAGATTTTAATTTAAGATATCTTAGATACTTTCGCCTCGCTGATTTCGAATCTGCAATCTGTTTCTCTCTACAGGTTACAATTTTTATGCAATTCAATAATATATTTAATCGAGGGACTACTGTTTCCACTTCCCTAGTACGTAGGGCGTACTAGGAAAAAGGCTATAATACATATCAATTCATGATGCGATACGTTAAGGTCATGTGTTTTTCATTTTCAGTGTCATTTTCAATGATGCAGACAAGTGTATATACATGTATTTAAACCTATATTCAAAGCCTGACTAAGGCAGGGGCAGTTACCCCGGGCCCACATCAGAGGAGGCCCCCAAATCGAATTAAAAGTTTATTTTAGGTTTCCTTCCTTACTGAACACTTTTTTAAACAAAATATCGGTACAGTGTAAAATCCGTCAGTTTTATGTTAGCTTCTTCATTAATCTATCGTATGAACACAAAAAATCCATATTTCGTAAATTCATGGCTTTCTAAATTTAACCAAATTTAACGGAATTTAACTAAATTTCTGTAATGACGATGGACGCATTTGACCAATGAAAAGCCTGTATATCGCAACACTTTTACAAATCGCAAAATACAATATGTATGCAAAAATACAGGCTTCTGGTTGGCTTAAGTGAGCCTGAATTCCGCCCTAATGTCAGCAAGGATATGAGTTTTTCGCAGCTAGATGACAAAGTTAACAATCAGAAAACTGCATTCGACATGATGGACATACAATTCTCAGAATGTCAGTAAAATGGACAAAACGATATTTTGTCGGACCATTAGAGAGGAAGCACTTAATAGCTATTTTAGGTTCTAGTCAATTTTCTTGTTATGTATGTATAATGAGGAGAAAAATTTAAATACCTCCATAAAGTTCAACTCTTCATTACAGAAGTAGTGAAGTCGAGGGGGATACCAAAGAAGTTTTTGCCCAGGGCCCCAATTAGGCTAAGTCGGACTCTGTCTTATACTTATTCTATATATAAACTTTATAGCTAAAAATAAAATTTTAAAAAAGAAATCTGTAAGAACAAAACTCATTTTAGACTTGAAATTCCCATATCCAAATACGTAAAATCAAGTATTTGTAGAAATGCAACAAATAATTTGTTATCCCGTCTAATTTATTTTAGGTATAATCGATTTAGGTATAATTGATTATTTTTGACATTTGTTAAGCTTCATATTTATATTTGCCAAATTAATATTTATTCGTTCCATATGAGTAAGTGGCAGTTTAGTATAACTTTTATTTTAACTTTTGAATAACTGAATAACTTTTATTTTAATGATCGTATTTTCACGTCCTATGATGCTAGTTGAATGTACAGATTGATTGTATTAGAGCCTTGCGCGAATATACTGAGCCAATTGAAATGACATACTCAATGGAATAAAATCGAACGTTACTATAAACTAAGACGACGACAAAAAAATTAAAAGAAAGAATGAGATAATAACTGGAGGAGGTGTCTCGAAGCAACACCTTCTAGAAGAGAGAAGGCCTCAGCACTGATCAATGAAGTATTCCAATCAGCAAACATAAACTGCTTACGTAAACTGAAAAAATAAGAAAGATGTCAAGACGTTCGGGCTTTTAAGCTGCGCAGTGGGGTTATACGAAAAATGTCATTACGTATGGACTACTAAAGAATCAAATTTCTTATTTATGGTAGCTCGTGCTGAGGCCTTCTCTCTTCTAGGCGATATTACATCGAAATAACTAACTCTAGGAGATATAGCTAAATAACTAACGAAATATGACAACAAAAAGTACTGAGTGCAAAATTAAAAACCGAAAAACTTAATAACTTTAGATTTAATGACCAGATTTTTATATACTGAGATGAAATCTTACTGATATGAGACCTTAACTTAAAAGATGCTAATTTATATTAACAAACAATATCTTAAGTTGAATGCAACATTCTAAACTTACATTCATTACAAACTGAAACATGAAAACTTACTTTCTCTAAATAAACACAAGATTTGATTTTTCACCCTCAAAATGTGAGTAAAATGTAATGTAAGTAAACGCAATGTGCAAAATGTGGTGTCACTAAAGCAAAAGCTTCTTAATGTTATTCTTACTATTGGCATGCAATATTCTAAAATACATTTCAGAATTTTGTTTGCCGAAAGTTTATTTAAAGCAATATTTATAATTTAAAAAAAAACATATAATATTAACCTTACTTAAGATCAGTTTAATGTCGCTGAATTGTTTATTGTACTATAAAAAGAAATATCAATGAAATTCTCATACCTTTAAAATACTTCAAAAAAATATTAACATATGATAACATACATCATAATAGACCTTAATTAAGATCTGTTTAATGTCACTGATTTGCTTATTGTACGAAAAAAAAATATTAATGAAATTTTCACACCTTTAAAGTACCTTAAACATTTTACGCTATTTGAATAAATACTTAAAAGCTAAATACTTTTTCGGGACTATTATGACTGATATAGAAAGTAAGTTAGATAAAGAATTTGGTTTAAACGGATCTATTTCGGAAATTGAATCACTGTTTGTGTGTAAAGTTATCTAAAATAAAGTTATCTCTTAGTAAGATTAATATTCGAAATAAATAAATAAAGTATATCTATGAATGAAATTTTAAAAAGATGATATCACTGATAATGATGGGTTTTTAAAAAACAAAGTCGTTCACTCATACGTGCATTTGAGCACGTCCACATAACGATAGACAATGGGGTGACATAGAATACAACTATTCCAGGAACTGTCATATTTTGTGACGTGAATATTATTCGTAGTACTGTCGAATCAAGCTAAAAAAAACGCCATACCCAAAAATTTAAAATTACAAGCTGGGGCTCATTGAGATTTGTTTATAAGGGTCATATAGGGTCCCACATGCTGGATTATGAAGGTTAAAAACATTAATACTGACGCATAAACACATGAGACAGCTGTAATTTTGATGACATCGATCGAATAATAAAACTAACCAGGCAATAAGACTAGCAGTTAAAAAGTTACAATAGTTTTACGTGCACGGAGTACAATTTTGTATTTGTACCCATTTACTTACGCACCTGACTTTGTTAATCAAATTAGTGAATTATTGAACGATTTTACACTGAATCTTATGAAATCAAACACGAGTCAGTATGATGAATAGTTAAGAAGATGCAAGGAATTTTATTCATAAAATTTACTATTTTGTACTTATTTTCGCTTTTGAGCCAGTCACAAATTGACATGTCTAAATTCGATGAGCAATGTCGATCAATATCTTACTATACGTGAAAATCTAAGGATGGTGTCGCAGTTTTTCATTGTTGTCAATACATTTTTATTGACTGGAAAATCAAATGGTAGGATCCAGTTTTCCCACAGTAATTTTCATGTTCGATTGGTTGTGATCAGTATAAAATTGATATAAGTCATAAAGTTATTGCTTTCGTATAAACATCTTTGTTTCCCTAATTTAAAGATTAAAGTTACCTGTACTATTATTATAACGCTTTTGATTTGTTTGATATCTAATTTAAAAGTTTAGGAGGATGGTTTTTATTATTATCATTATTGTTATTATTAGAACAGTGTAATTCTGCGCTACATTTTAAGATAAGTTATTTAAATCGGTGTCTGATCTTATTAACTGTTTTACAATTAGTATTTTTAATTTAAATTACACTAATATACAATTATGAATTACGATTAAAGAGATTCGTTAAATTATTTTGAACTTAATTTCAAACGTCAAAAGCTTTTTGCACAAACTGATGAATGTAAATATCCGTCAGTTTGGTAAATAAAAATATTAAATTACACTTGTGAACTCACCCAATTTGTTATAACACAATATATACTTTTAATTTTATTTCAAAAAATGATTACTCACAAAAATTATTTATGTTCACCAATGGATAGTAATCATAAGGAAAATATTTAGGAGGCACAAGTGTTCGTTTTAACATCATGTTCTCGGGGTTGGTGAGCGTATGTGAACAGCCCCCAAAAATTTTCTTTAAAGTTTTATTTATTTTTGATTATTACAAAAACATAGACATGCATGTGTGCTCAAATACGACTTATAAGCACTTGTCTTGTGGAAGAACAAAGATACATCCTCGGTTGCGGTGGAATTCGAATCACCACCCAAAAGGAGCATTTGGGAGATCGGCAAGCCATTTGGAGTGGACAGATGATCTTAGCTGGTCACCTGGCCCTCTTCCCACCCATCATTAATATTTTTTCAATAAGGTTAAATAGAACATTAGGAGTTGATAATTCCTCTTCTTTATTTAAATAAACTGGGCCCCTATCCCATTCATCATTAAATTACATACAGTAAGGTAAAATACATTGATTTGGCAAACATTACGGTAGCCATAAA